CAATTTCAAACATTCTTGCAGTCGGTCGCTGCAGATTCCTTAATCGTGGCAGTGAAATTTGACAAAAATAGTTGTACATTATTCCGATAAGTATCATCGCGGATGTACAAGTTTCATCCTCCGAGTTTCATGTCCCCGAGAACCATTACCAGCTATTCGAAGCTGTCACGCGTCACGGGGTCGACGACCCTGGCTGTCTGAATTTTCCTCGTCGAAGCAAGGGGCAAGTCGACAGGGAGCGGTCAACGTCTATCAGCTCTCTTATTAAAGTTATCCCTTTCGAAATTTCTTGCCAGGGAACCGTGCCCCCCCTCCGGACAGGATTTGCCGCGAAGTTGGTCAGCTTTTCGACCTGTTTCGTCCAATTCGATTAACCATGTTTGCTGCGGGAGCAACTTTTCCACCGCTCGTAAAACGTTCTGACACTCGAAAGCTACGTCGCGCCGCACCGTGGACCCAGACTTCGTGGATTTTGGTTATTTCGGGGCTCACGTAGAGAAACGTAGAAGCTGGATAAACCGTGAAACATTAATACATTCTAAAAACTTCACGTCGAGGACACCTCTGTTGGATATTATTATTTTTCATCCGACCCTTCTGACATCTCTCCAATGTGTTCATTTCAAAAAAAGATCGAACTTCTTGATCTGTCCCTCGTTTTAATTAATATTAGTGTTTTCTAACATCGTCAGGTGTACCAGCCAACCCTGTGAAAAACTGAAATTCCATCCATATCTGTGACACGAGATCGTTCGTCGGTAATTACATGCATGTGAAATATTTCGTTTCACAATGTGAAACGTTTGAAATGTTTCACAGAGGAATGTTGAATTTTCGTTTTGAAAAGCGACGTTCCTTCAGTTTCGAGAAGTGACATTCTTTGAAATTTCTGCTCTGAAATTAAGTACATATATACTTAATCTATATAATTATATACATATACTTAATTAGTATATTTGTAGATGTCGACAGTTTCTTGGAAATATTGGAGGAAACAAAGATGGAAAGTTGTTACTTTTCAATGAAATTTCAAAGAATGTCTCACTTTATATACATATATAAAAATGAAATAAAATTCTACGTCTCTAATATCTATCTACGATATATTATCTTTCTATAAATTCCACGTGTGACGAAAATCAACCCGTTGAGTACTAAAAGGACTCCGAAGAAATAAGCCTGACAACGGCCAACGAGCGTCGTTCAACGCCAAAAGAATTGAAGAATCACCCTGTCTCGAACAGGCAAAATCTTCGAAACAAACTAGACAAGCGTCGAGCGATCGAATGCGATCGCACTTCTCGAAGACACGGTGGTCGAAGTCGGCCTTTTTGCCGCGGTCTATGGTAATTCCAGAATGGATAGAACGCGCTGCAACAGACAGACTGCAACCTCGAACTGTATCGGAAACTGTCCGCCGCCTGGAAATATCGTGCCAGGGATTATTTACATTTCAAACTAGGGGCTACCCGTGGAAAATAATCCTTTTTCTATTTTCTTTTATTTTTTTATTATTCGTTGGACCATCAGATGAAAGATTACGGAGGTATTTCTCTTTCTCTCTCTTTCTTTCTCATTGAGATTTGATTGCATCTGCGACGAGTCGATGGAAACGCGTACAGTCCCGCTCGTATGTATTGGGATATTTAAATCAAAATAACGAACATTTAGGTCATCGGGGAATTATTAAATTTATTACTCGCAAAGAGTATTAAATTGTAAGGAATTTGTATTTTTATATGTATATTGTATTATATCTAGAATGTTTATATTCTTTGGTCGAAACAAATCTGTTTCTCTGTTATTCATCGAAATATAAAAATCAGTGTAAATAAATTTATCCTGTGACTTTCGTGTTTAATATTGTGATAAAAAATCTTGTCAATTCTGCGCAATAAAGTTATATATGTTCCTCGTCTGTAAAAATAATCAACTTGGATTTTCATAGTATCATCAGGTCGATTACATTTATCACATTAGATATTCATATTTATATTTCACAAATTAGCAAATTATTTTCATCTTGAATGTGAATGTTTGAATGAACTTTAGATGAAAAAGAAATACAGTAATATTAAATTTCAACAATTCTCTGAAATAATTTTCACAGTTTATTTTATCACATGCTTCGGATTTTTAGATTTCGTATCAATTACTTCCGTAATAATCGTAAACGTGAATCAAGAAAATATTTTATAACTCGATAATATCGCTTGTTTCACGAAAATTATGAAGAACAGTAGTTTATCTCGAGCTAAGAAACGTTTCTTTTATTTATTCTCTTTTTTCCTTTCTGTGTATCCTTCAGTTTGAATGCCGTAATTAACAGCAGAATTAATCATACGTGATTTACCAGCTGAGGTATCCTCTTTTTCGTGAAACACCACAAATTTACCTAAGTGAAACTCGAGTAAATCTAAATTTACGAAAGCGAGGCAAAACTCATTAGAACTCCTCCTAAACTTGCCTCCCATTAACCCCTCGATTACCAAGACGAAACACATGGCATATATTTACTAAAATAGTCGCGAATCTTCACTAATTAAAGAGCGAGTGCAACGAAACGGTTGCACGCACTTACTGCTCCAATTGCTGAATTGTTCAAATATTTGTATAAATATGCGTGTTATTACAACAATACTTGTCCTGTACGAAGAAAAATATTTTGTAAAATTTTACTTAAAATATTGTAGAATTTTATCTAAGTGAAATAACTTTTTTTCTTCAAATATTTCAGTCGTATGCTCTGCTCAAAAACTTCTACGAATTCTTTTTAATCAAACCCTATTCCAGTTTCGCAAATATTTCGTTTCGCGATTTTAATTTGAAAAATAAATATTACATTATGGAAGCAAATTTTTCTATTTATAGTAGCGGACAGAAGAAAGTTCGACACGAGATAATTCATAATTTTATTATAAAACGTAATTATTATCTATATACGAGTATTACGACTATACGACTGTTATTAATGTTGATAATAAAATATCAAGTATCGAAAAACAAACTAACAACTATAAAAATAATGTCACGTAGACAATGTGTGATATAATAATAATATAACATCACGTCAACATTGTCAATCTAATGTGTAAATAATAAAAAAATATCACATAGACAATTTCAATTCACAAATAGTACCGTTGTATTCCATATAATTTCATAATTATAGTAATTTGTATTAAAATAATTAAAACTGAGAATGCTTGATCATTCCACTGTATTTTACACTATTAACAATAAAATTCAGTTATATTAAAAATGCTAAACCGAGTTGAATTTTCTTTTGTCGACCATTTAGAACGAAATATCACATCTCTCTGATACCTAAACAATAATCTCTACTTCCTAATAAAAAAAAAAAAAAGAACTTTGAACTGTCTTCTGTTGACCATTTAGAACGAAATATCACATCTCTCTGATACCTAAACAATAATCTCTACTTCCTAATAAAAAAAAAAAAAAAGAACTTTGAACTTTCTTCTGTTGACCATTTAGAACGAAATATCACATCTCTCTGATACCTAAACAATAATCTCTACTTCCTAATAAAAAAAAAAAAAAAGAACTTTGAACTTTCTTCTGTTGACCATTTAGAACGAAATATCACATCTCTCTGATACCTAAACAATAATCTCTACTTCCTAATAAAAAAAAAANAAAAAAAAAAGAACTTTGAACTTTCTTCTGTTGACCATTTAGAACGAAATATCACATCTCTCTGATACCTAAACAATAATTTTTACTTCCCAATAAAAAAAAAAAAAGAAAAAAAATGATCGATAGATGATGAACAATGAGTAATTTCCCGATGTACTTATGGATAATTCAAGCAGAAAAGCGGCCTGATAATCGTTACAATGGGGGAAGATAGCGTCACAGGGGTTGCAACCCTTAAGTGGCCGTAAAATTGGCACGCATCGGCCGTTTAACTATGAAAATTAGAGATTTCGAGGCGCGATAGCATCGTCCCTCCCTCTCTCTCTCTCTCTCTCTCTCTCTCTCTCTCGCTCTCTCTCTCCAATGGGCTAAAGGGGCAATTACCGGCTGGCGTAAGTCGACCAAACAGATTTCTGATATTCGCGCGAGACGGCTATTACGCGATCGTTAGAAAATTATCTACTAAACGGCAATATGAGGAAACTTTCGTCGTTCTCGTCGGCGTTTCGAGTTACGAACGACGAGTTTCAATTTCCTGGCCAACGATTTTATAGGCGTATTAGCCATTAAGTATCTGAGCTCGGAGGATCATCGTAAAATTGTTACGAAGAGAGAGAGAGAGAGAGAGAGAGGGAGAGTTTCGTCTGAAAGCTGAATGTTTCTGCCTGATCGTAATCTCGCGATGTTTCGTAATCTGCGGCGCTCGTTATTTTTATGGATTTTCCATACTAGACTCTGGAGTTCGACGCTTTTACTATACTCCCGTGACGTTCAATAATTTAGGTTTTGTAATTCTAGGATCGTCGTTCAAGCTCGTTGATGTCTGACAGATTACTACACATTCAGGGATCATAACTCGCGAGTTATTACAAATTGGGAAATATCACTGAAACGGGAATCGTCATTCTTTAGACATGCAAGGTACAATCTCGAGATTCGTACTCTCTTTACTATTTATTTACAGCAGAAATAGAAGAAACTATCTATTGATTTTTATATATTTTCCACGATGAAATAGAAACTTAAGGTATGAAATTCTGAAAGTAACAGAAAATTTGTAATAATGCATGAAAATTCGATATTCAAAACTTAAACTTCGGAATCTAATATTCAAATTTCGTCCACGATATTTATGATATTACTCAATTAGATGTTTCCAACTGGAAATCAAAGGACGAAGAATTCTAAAATCCCGTAGGCCGTATAAAGAGTATTCGTCTCTTTAAATTCCAAGGCCGAGTTTAAAAGAAAAGAAAAAAAAAAAAAAAAGGAGAAAAGGAAGTTAAATCAAATTCACAAACGAATTCAGCACGAATCTCAAAATCAACTTTCAAGAGACATCACTCACCGCTCAGGTAGAACTGGCTGGTGCTGTTGTACAGGTTCGTCACGATCGGCTTGATGTTGTCGAATGTCAAGGTCTTCAGCAAATTATCCCTCAGGTCTAACACGTACACGCCGGGCGCGCCGGCCAGGAAATCCGCATCGAGGGTGACCAGCTTGTTATCACTGAGCTTCAGCTTCCTAAGGTTCCTCATCCCGTCCAACGCTTTCTCCGAGATGTACTCGATCTCGTTCTGATCGAGATCCAGCTGCCTCAACGAGGGCATCTCGATGAATGTTCTGTCGCCGATCATCGCGATCAGATTGTTGCGCAGGTCCAGCTTGACCAAGCTTCTCAAACCGTGAAAACTGTCCGCCGTGATGACTTTGATCTGATTGTCGACCAGGTGTAGCTCCTCCAGGGTGGTGAGATGCTTGAACGCCTTGTCGTGGAGGGTGCTGATGTTGTTGCTGTTCAAAGAGAGGGTCTTCAGCGACGGTAGATTGACGAATGTGTCCCTGGAAATTGAACGATCGGGGGTTAATCCGCAGAATATGACACGCGAGGTGTGTTAAGAACGATCTACGAAAAATATCGGCAAGCTGTTTCATCGGGTTTATTTCGCGTTTCATTTTCCTGCGCGGCGTCGAATCGTAGTATCGCGGTATGAAAGACACAAAATTTAACACACGCTTGGATTTAATCACTTGCGCTGGCAACTGATTGCGGACCATAACGAGTGACCATACCGTATACAACAATTCGTCGCTTTCTTTTCGAACTCGTCGGTATATGATTATCACTGGATTGAAATTATTGAGAAGCAATAAATTTATTATTTGTTTTGTCTGCGTTATACTTAAGCATACTTGATGAAGACTGAGAAAATATTGAAATTTTGGGACGAAAAATTCTCGACATGTGTGGCACGTCACTCCAGCGCAAGAGGTTAATTAATCAGCACGTAAACGCTGGAACAGGGCTACATTTGAGAGAATGAAATTTTAGCAAAACGAAAGAATTCCTGGAATTTTCGCACTGAAGATTAATTCAAAATCAGTTTGGCACCAAAGAATTGTTTTCGAATAAATTTTCTTTGTGATTTATTTACCAGCAAATGTTTTAATTTGTGATCCCAGTTAATTAAGAGATATATAGTTTATATACCTCTATGTCCAGGGATGAAAACATTTGTTAGAATATATATAATAGTGTGTCAATATTTTTTGTAGCCATTGTACTCTGATACAGAGAAAGTCATAGTAATATAGAGAAATATCATATAGTTTTTATCAAGTGGACAGTTGGCTGTTCAGCAAATTAGGACTAATTAGAATAGAATAGAATGTGTGCTTCAAATAAATGCGCGTAAAAACAATAAAACGACGTGTTTATGTTTCAATATTTTTGAAAAATTCTGAGAAAATATGACATTGTAGAAGAGGCACCGAGGAAAATAATGGAAAAGTGAATTTTTGTAAAATGATAGGACAACTGGTGGGAAGGATATTAAAGAAGATGTTATTCGAGATAAAAAGAATTTTTCAAAACATTCAGAGACAATATTACAGGAAAGAACGCTCTGTTTTCTAGGACAACAATATTAAAATATTAATAATTTGTGCAAATTTCACAGGAAATTCGAAAGCGTATATAATATGAGAAAATGTATAAAATATCGGAAATAGAGTAACTGTTATAATTTATAATATGTAAAAGTAAATTATGTTATAAATTTATTTTTACATTTTTACAATTCCTACATTTTCTATTTATTTAGTGACGTTCATAAAAATATAAAAATATATACAAAAATTTGCAATAAACGAGAGATTATTTATACTTTATAAATTTGTCGGGATGAGTAAATTACTCAACGAGGATCTCACTGTCAAAAATTGTATAATGTATTTTTGGTAGATATATGTTGTACGTATATTGTTTGTATATTATTTATGACTTTTGTAGGCTAATAAATATTTGAATCGTATCAAATCGTACTACTGGCAATTTAAGACTGGTGTATGGCACTTTTTTTATGGACGTATAAAAATTGTATCTTTATCGCGAAGCACTGAATATAAAGAAAGAATATACCTACGTATATAACATCTTTATCGAGAGGGCATTGAATATAAGGAAAGAATATATGTAGTTCTACAGTACAAATCTATCACTACAGCTATTCAGGTCGTATCTTCCATTGAAACAGCAGTAAAGTCACGAACGCTTTGTGCATCAGTACATAAAACGCGATCTTCATTATTAAGCATCTCGTAAACTGTTGTGTAAAGAAACTCGACATAGACTAAACATTCCTCTATTCTTCCCCACTTTATAAAATTCCAACAGAATTGTGTAAATTTCCCGTTCTTCCCTTCAAACGGAAGTACAATCGTATCGTAATTCTCAACTTTATTTGTATTTTATCTCGCAGCAAATCAAACAGCTAAACAAAAACAGAATTTTAAGATGAAATATTTCCCCGCGTTTAGCATGTAGAATTTCAACAAAATTGTATCAACAAAAATCTACTAAAA